CCCGGGGTTTTTAGATATTTTATTTGCTTCGAGAGTAATGTTTTCGTGTTGTTCGTAAGCTTTAATATACGCCGCACGTTTTCGTTCGAGATCACCCCAATCGATATGACAACACGTATCTAGATTATCACACGAGGTACACGAAGGATTAAGAGCGTTTGGATACCCTGAACTCTCTTGTTTAATTTTGAGAAACATATTGATATATTCGCTGAACAGGTCTTTTTCGGGTAGTTGGTCAAATATATCCTTTTCAGCTATATCCTCGTAATTGTCTTTAATTGTGGGGATATGGATATCGTAGTCTTTCTGATTAATCGGAGCATCGTTGCTGCAATATCGGCGCGTGTGTGGGAAATTCCACACCTCGAAAATATTAACCAGGCTGTAACCTTTTTTAATTGCGGCGATAACTTCAAATATAACCCAAGTTCCCGTCAGCGCCCTATCGTCGTCATTGTGAGTACAGGGCTCTTTGTTTCGGTTCAAAGCGCATTTAGAACACAGTGGAAACAGTAGCTTACCATTAGCCCTAAACGGTAGGACTGGAATATATAAGGAGCGGGGCGGTAGAATTTGACATTTAACGAAACCTACATAATTCTCCAAAATATCGAAGTCACGCAGAATAATCATGGGGTGCCCGACCGGATATAGCATTCTTTTATTTACGAAAGGGTAAAGCGACGTGAAGTCCAGGTAACGGATTCTTTCGTTTTCACGGGCCTTGTGATAAAATTTCAATAAGTTCGTCCTCCCTCCATAGAAGGCGTCACGTACTTGCAAGGGTTCTGTCAAGGTGGGGGTGAACGCTTCAAAGGCTAAATACATAGGGGTATTTGTGAGGCGCTTGTATTCGCATTCCCATATACATCGAATACGTCTGTTCGGAGCCTTCAACCTCTCCAAACGGGCCAGGTGCTCCTCGTACAATGCGTCCATGGTTTTGTTATTGTATGGAGAGGGTTGATCTCTGTTTTTGATACAGAGACACCCGTGGAAAACGCAGCCTAAGTATTCGATACACACCTCGATGTTATTTTCCATATACCAACCATCTACAGACATATTGAAAATGACCTTTTCACCACCGTTACGGGCGTGTTGTATATGGCGATTTTCAACATATTCAAGATATTGCATGTACCGTATACATGAATTTGAATATTTGCGGGCGGATACATACTGACCCTGGGGCTCTATAGCTATCGTGAAGGGGGGTAAGAATTTTCGCCGATAGACGAGGTTACACAAGGATACAATCGTAATAGCCTTTTGAAATGGCGATATTTTGGTTAATTCCATGAAAAGCTTTCTATAGTTAGCCGCGCCTAACCGTAGAAGATCAACATCCGCTTTACAGTATCGCACCAATTCAAACTTAGCGTCACTAGGTGACATAGATGACATAGTTTCGTAAAAACTTATCGAGGGCATTACGCCTTTATATTTCAGATTTTCGATTTTAAGGAATGCATACGGAAATATACCCTTCGCAACAGGTAAATCAAATGTTTTGCTAAAATCTGCAAGTTTCATATGCATAAACGCTAGGCTATCTAAAAAACGTATATTACCGGGTATAGTCATACAAATGATTTTAGACCCGTTTGCAATGATTTCAGGTAGAATTCTAGTATGTGTGACGAAATATCTCAATACAAATAGAGCATCGAAAGCTTGACTGTTATGTGCTATGAATCTGGAATGCCTGTGTGTTAGAACGGTCGTTTTTTTACCTTCGAGGTCGACATTTATTTCGGTCTGAATTATCCAACGGCAAAACTCTGCAACGCAATATTTACCATAAAAAAATCCACTTTCTCTGGGAGTTTTTTAAGTTACAGCCGACACACGGCGCGTTAATATCTATCTCCAAACATAAAGGACACACGCGATGAGCAATGCATAATATAGGAACGTGTATATTATCTTCATCCAAAATAGTCTCAAAGTCATAAAAAACAAAATATTTGATAGTCTCACCTTCAACCTCCTCTGATAACCGTTTCATATAGCATCTATGATTAGGCTTGCACAGTTGCATACAATTACGACATTTGTGCACGTCACAGGTGTGCTTATTAATCGCATCCTCTTCGTGGGTGTCTATTGTTGTATAACACTTTAAGCACGCCCTATATTTCATACACGTCGACACTGTGTATAACGGAACATTTTGGTTATGTCTCTCCAAGCACTTTTTGCCTCTAAAATAACGGTGACAAAGTTCACACTGTATTCGCGGCCTATCCAGAGGACAGGCTACTAACTGCTTGCAGCTTCGACATATCGCTTTACACACATGGTATTTCTTATTAGAATATGGTTTTTCACACCCTGAACAATAGTATGAACGATTAAATAAGCTGTTGATTTTCTTTATGTAGTAGAAATGTTTTTCCATTAAATATACTATTCAAAAAAAGTAGGGGATATTTGATTTTTAAGTGTTATTAAAGTCACCTAATGAAACTGACGAAGAAACAAATGACAAAATGAAATGAAGTTCACATTCATCGATTTATTCCAAATGATCGTTAGACTAAGTAAGGCACAGACTGACCATTATAAGGGTAAAATGATACTCGGGGTCAAACAGCAAAGTTACCACAGCATCACAACCAAGTCAGTAACGGGTAAATCCTCCTCTGTTTGCCAAACAAGCATTGATCCGACGTGGCATACTCCTAATGAGACGTCTAAGGTCATTTTGGTCCAGATTGTCCCATTCCTGTTGCAACGCAGCAGCAAGTTCTTGGACATTGGCAGGACGTTGTTGACGTTGACGTAACCTCTGTCCAAGCATGTCCCAGACATGCTCGATGGGGGAGAGGTCGGAACTCAGTGCTGGCCAAGGTAATGTGGTGATGTTCTGTTGTTGGAGGTAACCTGTAACGATCCTGGCCCTGTGACATCTTGCGTTGTCATCCTGGAAGATGAAACGGCGGCCATGACGTCGTGCGAACGGCACAACATGGACTGCCAAGATGTTGTCCCGGTAGTACTGGCCTGTAACACGTCCTGCAACAACATGTAAAGCCGTTCTTCCAGCAACAGTGATGCCTCCCCACACCATAACAGAACCACCCCCAAATCGATCATGTCTGATGACGTTAACGTCTTGGAAGCGCTCGTTTCGACGACGCCACACCCTCCTACGTCTGTCCAAAAAATCAACAGTGAACCTTGACTCATCTGAAAACATCACATTGCTCCAGCGTCGATTATCCCAGTGTTGACGGTCCCTACACCAACGACGTCTTGCCTGAATGTGATGATCTCTCAAACAAGGGATCACGCGAGGACGTCGGGCGCGAAGGTGACCCCTATGCAGTCGATTCCGAATCGTCTGGCCACTCACTCTCACACCAGTGTCTGTTTGAAGACGAGCGCTGATCTGATTTGCTGTGATGACACGATTTCTCAAGGCCAAGGTAGGGATAAATCGATCCTGGGCTTGAGTTGTCGCCCTTCGTCGACCTGAGCGTGGTCTGTCCTGTACAGATTGTGTATCACGGTATCTGGACCATAGCCTGCTTATGACAGACTGAGAAACATTCATCGTCCGCGCGGGGGGTTGGATGGCTGAATGGTTAGCGTGCGCGCGCTGTATCATAAAGTCTGTCATTGAGTCGACTGGTGTGGTTTCGAATCCCCGGTTGTACGTGACAAGGAGTAGGGTCGCCTGTCCAACCTCGTGGGTTTTCTCCGGGTCCTCCGGTTTCCTCCCACTGCTAAAGACCCCTACGCGCAAGCGAATTATTGAAATAAAATTAAACCATATGTTAGTCCCGAAATGACCTAGTTTGTGTCGAGTGGACGTTAAACCCCATTTCTCTCTCTCTCTCATCGTCCGCGCCACAACCGCCTGTGTTGTGCCGATCTGTAGCATGCCAAGGGCACGTAACCTTTCATTTTGGTTAAGCCGACGCATATCAAAATTTGTTTTCTGGTCACTAAAACAATTAAACTGATGTTTCCACCCTGGAATTCAATGCCACAATGACTGTAACATTCAAAGTCAGAGTCGTGCAAATCTTGGGTTGGACCCCCATGATGATCCCAAGCATCACCTGCATTCCACGCGGTAGCTATTGGTGCGTTTGGGCGTCACATGTAACTGGAAATGTTTCTTCTGTTAGGTTCTATAGTGACTTTTTTCGTAGTCATTTGCATATTTTAGTATTATGCCCCCAAAATCAAATATCCCCTACTTTTTTTGAATAGTATAATTTCCCCACCCTAGCATCTTGGTTTTGTTTATGATACGGTTAAGAGAACGAATAATATATCCAATGACCTGATTATTATTCCCCAAATGTTTTCATAACATCTAGACTAATATTTTTGGAATATTTTTTGGCATGATATCGAAAAAAAATCTTACATAATGTATCTTTAAAGAATAGACTTACCTTAATTTTTTTCCGAATGTCTCCTATAATGACGGCGTGTATACTCAAAGACAAAGTCTCATGAGTTGGGTGGTGTTTCCTCTTCAAAGTCAGCGGGCCTCAATGACGTTAAAATGACTGTCGCAATTTTGGTCAACGAACCATGAGCCCCTTCCATGATTGGTTAGTATGGGTCACGTGGTTGTTTAGCGCCAACTTCTGACCAGTGTCTTTGTCTCGTAAAGGGGTCGTTAATCCTTTAGTTCCAGTCGACAGAGTAACTACAATGACTCGCGGTAAACCTCACGACCTGAAAGGTGGTATAATTATGGGGACGCGTAGTGGTGTCACGCTGTCCTTAAGGTAATCACCTCAAATAGTGCTGGTTGACTGATTTAACACAGTACTCTTTATAAAACCGGCGTCCGTTTATAACCTATGTCGCGACAGTCCGGGCAATAGTTTTTCTAAACCTTTTTAAAACCCCACATTACATCCACTGTTCAGTTTTAATGTATTTCATTTTTAAAAAGAAAATTTTAAAAACAGTTCTCGAACCCACAATTTGCAGTTGGTCATAAAATTATGCTATACCCTTTAAAAACAGCCGTACTTATGAAAATTGTCACTTCGACTTGTGGCTGAAAAGAATACGACACCAAAACACAAAGACTTGACAAAAACACCTGAAGCCTATACAAAAAAGACAAATAATTTAAAATGTAAGTTACTTTTTTTTTCTTTTTCTTTCAAAATTTTGATTCAAAACCTACTTTTAAAAAAAATCTGTAATCGTTATTTCTATTTTAAGTTACGGGGTACGGGTACGGGTAGGGTCTAGATTGAAAGCATGTGGGTGGGTGTGGGGGTTGGGGAGATGAGGGGTGGGGGGGGCCTTAGACCCTACATAATTTGAAGCTTTTAAAGAGGCATAACATTGTATGAGTACGGTATGATTTGACGATATATTCGGTCTAAAAAACATTTTCAAACTAATTAATTTATCATAATTTGGCTATAATGCATCTTGTATGGATTAACAGCGATACGTGCAACTGTCGTTGGATACCGTTGTTGAATTCGTTGCATAAACAAGATTTTTGACAGTGATGTGGGCCGAACCCTTGGCAAGACAGTTGCCTAGTCGTCCGGATAGGCCGAAAACAATGCAGAACCGCACATAGTCATGTACGCGTAAAAGATCGTTAACCCTTGACACCACACCCTGTGGCCTAAATATTTTACGGTGAAAATATCTTTAATATTATATTTTTGTCTTTTTTTAAGGTATGCAATTGCTGATGTTAGAAATTTTATACTGTGCACCATTAGCCTGATTACGACAACATTGGCACCATATACCCATTCCTTGGGCACGCCTGATGTTGTAATACAGTTACGGGGTATTTTGACGGACGCGGACGCTTTGTTGTCTACCCACAACCCATTCATCCCGACTAGACCAGCCACGCCTAGCCAGGAAAAAGAAACGTAAGTTTTTTAACTACTTGTATGGTGTTTCGGAAGAAAGGAGGGTGGGGGTGGGGGGGGGCGTCACTACCGTTGCAATGCGGGGCTTGTCTGTATCTGGTTGCCCATTCAAGGATGTTCAGTCAAGCAGACTGTACTTTACAGGCCACGTGTGTTTGTTTGTGGTTTCTAAGTATCGATTCTTGAACGTAGTTTTGTTTTGAACGACACCCATATAGCCTATGGCATTAATTTAGGTATAGGAAACAAACAACGAGGCTGTTAAACGTCTCACTTCATTTCACCTCCCGCCATTTGAAGATGCTTGCGTGTATACCCCCCGCCCCCACGCACACCTCGCCGTCAATACCTAAATGAAACGAAATAGGGGGGGGGGGGTTAAAATCCTACTGTTCTACTCCTAACGTGTGCTAAGGAAGGACAGGGCATAAGCCAGACAGTGTGCTATGAGTGAAATTTTGCCCGGGTAGCACGACTACGGCCTACTCTTATATCGATTTCCGACGGCCAAGGGATCTTTTACCTGCACGACAATGTGTACACACGGCACCTCAGTTTTTCGCCCCATCCGAACGACTAGACTGCCGTCCTTGTCAGGACCTCCGACCTGAATCACGGCCAATGGGGAAACCCCGCCAGAAATCGGGGTGAACTTTCTCAGCCAATGCAGGGATCGAACAGGCGACCTCTAGGTTAGCGAACCCGAGACTGTAATCAATGCTATTCTTATAATATTAATATTGCTTTATTTAACTGATACCTATTTGTTTTGTTCTTTTCTGCAGATTGTTAGCATACACGGACTATATATTGGCACGCTTGAGGTTGGTGGCAGACACGAATCCGGGGTTTAAGAAGCCAATGGACATTCTAGAAACCTACAGGGAATTGGCCGATTGGAACTTACCGTCTCTTTAAAATGCAAATGAAAAATTAAAAATTGACCCCCCCCCCCCAACATTGTTAGCTTCTTAGCCTTGTCACTAATTGAAGAATATAGAGGAATGAAATGGTGGGGGGGGGGACGTTGAGGTGAAGGGGTATGTGGGAGGGGGGGGGGTAACTGAGTGGAAGGGGGGGGGTATAAGTAACCAACCCCGGATAAACAATCGCAATCCAATCAATGGTCAACCCCCCCCCCCCAACATTGTTAGCTTCTTAGCCTTGTCACTAATTGAAGAATATAGAGGAATGAAATGGTGGGGGGGGGACGTTGGGGTGAAGGGGTATGGGTAACTAATTGAAGAATATAGAGGAATGAAATGGTGGGGGGGAGGGAGGGGGGGACGTTGGGGTGAAGGGGTATGTGGGAGGGGGGGTAACTCAGTGGAAGGGGGGGTATAAGTAACCAACCCCGGATAAACTATCGCAATCCAATCAATGGTCAATCTTAACGTTAGCCCTTAACGCTAGACCACGCACGACCTGACCTCAGCACGAACCCCGACGCGGCTGTCTATAAAGGGACAACCCCACCCCACTCACCCACAATAATCAATGCGTGACCTCCAGCTAACCTCGTAACAGAAGTCAAACGAGGTCAAAGGATAAACAAGAGTTCATTATAACAATACCTATTCATCTATATTCATATCCCCATTGTTCGGATAACAATACCATATTCAATCTATTGAATAGAACAAAGGCGTCAACTCTCCTTGGTAAAAATGTGGCTGAACTGCCACAGATACTACTCCTGTTTCTTGTTAGTACTAACTTCTAGCTGATATACACATATACTTCTGCATTTCAGAATCTAAAATTAAGCCAATGACCAACAGACTAAATTGGTTGTTAAAGATGGCTCGTTGACAGGTATTCACGGTTGACTTGATGAACTTTGCTGTATGGTCAGATATTATATAATTTGAGTACAGAATCTGCTATAGTCATTAAAATGTAACTAGCAAGATACCTCAGCCAGGCTGTGTTCATAATAAATTTTAGTAGATTTCTTTGACTTTTTTCTTTAAAGAATAATGTATTACGATTCTTTTGCTTTAAGCTCTACATTTATTTTGAATGGTGGAGTGAAATACATATTTCTTAAAATGAAAATATGTATCACGATTTCATTCATAAACAAACTCTATTTTTTATTCATAGTAAACTTATTATAGTGTGTGATAAAGAGAATTCTGCTGTAATCTGTTTAATCTATGCAAAGTACATATTAGTGCACCACTTAATTCTATAGTAAGCTAAAATATTAATAAAAGATCTCCAAATTGTTTGGATTTTAATTTTATTTAAAAAATAAAACAAATTTCAGTACGCAGTAGAATAAATCATCTACCTATGGAGTACCTATTTATATTGCGCATAAAGGCTTTAGCAGCTTTGCAAGTATGGCTTCATAATATTATTAATATATGATATACTTTTAGAAAATTAATTTAATCTTAAGTTATATTCTTCTCATTTGTTATTACTGTATTGGTTTTAGAAGTGCAAAAGTATTATTTTTTTAAATGCTGTTTATTTTGAGTTTGATATGTTGGGGATAAATTTGTTCACCTATAATTTGCATTGTCGCATCACCATGAATATAACCAGTTACGATATCAAAAATTTAACACATTTTTTGTTTTTAATTTATTGATAATGGCCGACATCGTGATCAGCCTGTATACATCGAGTGACGATCAAACATGCCTTGTACCAATTTTCAGCAAGATTGGATATTTTGTTCAGGTATTATATCAGTATGTGCTTCCGATCCATTGTTTATTCAAGAATTTTGTGCCATTGACCTCTGTACGTGATCCCTGTGTTACAAAGTTATGTTCATGTTCAATATTATAAATGAAAACAAAACAAAGAAAAAAGACTTCATTTCTCAATTTTATTAAATTCTAATCTCTTACTTCTCATTCTCAATTCCTACAGGTTACATACAAAGACGGTCTCATCATTAATACATCTAGGTTGCTACAAATAATTTCCAAACAACCTTTGCGGTAATCTTTTAGGTTACCTGCCCCGAAATTGTTTGACTTAAAGATACATTATGAAATATTAAATAAAGAGCTGACAATTGTAGATATAATAGATAAAAAATGGATTATAATGTAAATGGGAAATGTCGAAAATTTCAGTGAAATTGCTTCAATCTGATTCATATACACAGTAGATAATAAAAAGAAGACTCGATTATGGATCCATTTTTGCAGTTAATCAAGGGCGTTGGACAGAAACTCGGATTCAAATCTAATGAAAATCGGACCCACAAGATGCCATCGAGAGCGTTGATTATGGTCTTTTTAATAAATGTCTAATTAATAGTTTATATAACATTTCAGACCTAAAGAAAGACCTGCAATAGTCAGATTTAGCTCTTGCATAATGTTTATGTTTAAATTTTAATGAAGGAGAAATGAGAAATTGAAAATATTTTTAAGTAAAGTAGATCAATAAAGAAATTGCAAAAAGACCTTACCTGTAAAAATTATTATGCTCTTAACAAATCTATGTAGTTGTAAAATTACAGCATAAGCGACATGGTTTAATGTAAATCGCACCTGTATGTGCGACTGTTTACTTGTCATGTAAATGCAACTGTTGAGGGCGCAGTAAGTTTAACGTATCCCAAATAAACACTTTAATGATATTCTGATTTTAATTTTCTGAATACTTATTAATATCTACTAAATGCAATGGGTATGATTCCACATTGAAGCCGATACAGGTGTGGCTAATCCCATATGGGTAAAATATTGGACCCAGATGTATTATTTTATATGTGGTAGATGCCATATAGATAAGATATTGGCCCAATCCCATATTGATACCATATTGAACCCATATACATAATATACATGAATGAGGTTAAATCATATCCATACCACACAAGCTTCTGTGCATAATCCTTTCTGTGCAGATTGGTTCACAAAACTAAAAGTATGGATTCAATAATGAACTTATACATACAAATAAGTAATCCCATATGGATACCATATTGGCCCCAGATATATAAAAGTTATATGTAATCCCATACAGCTACCATATTATCCCCAGATCCACACATGGGTAATCCCATATGGACACCATATTGGCCCCATGTATACAAAACAGAGTTGTTAATGTGGGTAATCCCATATAGACCCCATATTGGCCCCAGATACACACACTATAAGGTCAGATTATCAATATAAAAAAGAAGTAACCATTATATCATTTGGCTTATCTCTGTGATATTAATATACACACAACTAAAAGTATGGATTCAATAATAGACTCATACATAGACTAATAAGTAATCCCATATGGATACCATGTCGGCCCCAGATATGCAAACGTTATATGTAATCCCATACAGATACCATATTATCCCCAGATACACACACGGGTAATCCCATATGGACACCATATTGGTCCCATGTGTACAAAAACAGAGTTGTTAATGTGGGAAATCCCATATAGATCCCATATTGGCCCCAGATACACACACTATACGGTCAGATTATCAATGTAAAAAAGAAGTAACCATTATATCATTTGGCTTATCTCTGTGATATTAATATATACACAACTAAAAGTATGGATTCAATAATAGACTCATACATAGACTAATAAGTAATCCCATATAGATACCATGTTGGCCCCAGATATATAAAAGTTATATGTAATCCCATACAGATACCATATTATCCCCAGATACACACACGGGTAATCCCATATGGACACCATATTGGCCCCAAGTGTACAAAAACAGAGTTGCTAATGTGGGAAATCCCATATTGGCCCCAGATACACACACTATACGGTCAGATTATCAATGTAAAAAAGAAGTAACCATTATATCATTTGGCTTGTCTCTGTGATATTAATATATATATGAAAATAAAGTGTATTTGGGTACATTTGTATGTGGTAAGGTAATATGGGTCCTATATTCCTATATGGGGACCTTGTGGTATCACCTGGGCCCACAGCCCATTTTTCACCATATGGTCCCCATGTGGCAATGTTTATGGGGGTGGAGTTACCAAAAGGGGAAGTAAAAGCTGTGGAAAACCCAGGGGAAAACCCAGATCGGACAGACGTGAAACATGACACGGGTAAAAAGAATGAACATGTTCATTCTTCAAAAACGTGTCATTTCACGCGTGAAACGTGAAACGTGAAAAGTGACATTGATGGAAACGGTTCCTACCAAAATCATATGTTTCTATTTCTTGTCACGTGACATGTGAAACTTGGTGGAAACTTACAATATTATTTTAGTGGATTTTATCTAAAATGCTTAAAATCGTTTTGTGAAACGCATCTATCTTAAGTTAGGATGGAATTTTAGTTTAAGACGATTTTAAGGAATTTAAGTTTTTGTGAAACAGGGCCGAGACATTCTAACGTATTTGTAGGCGGGGATTAAAAAGCCTAACCACGCCTTGACATGATCGGTGAAGGTCGCTTTCTGATATTATTCAGGCATAATACTAGATCTTTGTTTCATCTGGAGAATTTCTTTCTCTAGTGTTAGGGTTAGGGTTCGGGTTAGGTTTATAAATTACATGTCAAACGAACAAATTGAAGCTGTAACAACGGTGGATTGTGGCTAAAACTATTCTGAAGGGTTAGGGTTAGAATTGGGTACAATTGTGGGTATAAACATTGACAGATATTCTCCAGATCGGTCAAGATCCAGTAGCGTGAGCAGAGAAATATGGCGACTGAACTGCCAGCTATGGCGACGGACCAGCCAACAAAAATCTTTAATTCCATAGAGGAAGCAGAAAAGTTTATTAAGCAGATAGAAATCCGGGAAACCAACCACGTAACCAAAAAGACCCAAAATTTCCAATTACCCATAAGTACCACTACGGCACTAGAATTTCCAGTCAACAAACTCGGTCGATGGTTGGGCTAAAATTTGGGAATAGTTTGTTTGACTGAAATAAAAAACGCAC